TCTACATCTACATCTACATCTACATCTACATCTACATCTACATCTACATCTACATCTACATCTACATCTACATCTACATCTACATCTACATCTACATCTACATCTACATCTACATCTACATCTACATCTACATCTACATCTACATCTACATCTACATCTACATCTACATCTACATCTACATCTACATCTACATCTACATCTACATCTACATCTACATCTACATCTACATCTACATCTACATCTACATCTACATCTACATCTACATCTACATCTACATCTACATCTACATCTACATCTACATCTACATCTACATCTACATCTACATCTACATCTACATCTACATCTACATCTACATCTACATCTACATCTACATCTACATCTACATCTACATCTACATCTACATCTACATCTACATCTCTACATCTACATCTACATACATCTACATCTACATACATCTACATCTACATCTACATACATCTACATCTACATACTCTACATCTACATCTACATCTACATCTACATCTACATCTACATCTACATCTACATCTACATCTACATCTACATCTACATCTACATCTACATCTACATCTACATCTACATCTACATCTACATCTACATCTACATCTACTACATCTACATCTACATCTACATCTACATCTACATCTACATCTACATCTACATCTACATCTACATCTACATCTACATCTACATCTACATCTACATCTACATCTACATCTACATCTACATCTACATCTACATCTACATCTACATCTACATCTACATCTACATCTACATCTACATCTACATCTACATCTACATCTACATCTACATCTACATCTACATCTACATCTACATCTACATCTACATCTACATCTACATCTACATCTACATCTACATCTACATCTACATCTACATCTACATCTACATCTACATCTACATCTACATCTACATCTACATCTACATCTACATCTATCTACATCTACATCTACATCTACATCTACATCTACATCTACATCTACATCTACATCTACATCTACATCTACATCTACATCTACATCTACATCTACATCTACATCTACATCTACATCTACATCTACATCTACATCTACATCTACATCTACATCTACATCTATCTACATCTACATCTACATCTACATCTACATCTACATCTACATCTACATCTACATCTACATCTACTACATCTACATCTACATCTACATCTACATCTACATCTACATCTACATCTACATCTACATCTACATCTACATCTACATCTACATCTACATCTACATCTACATCTACATCTACATCTACATCTACATCTACATCTACATCTACATCTACATCTACATTCACATCGACACCTACATCTACATCTACATCTACACTTTTGCATTGGTTTTGCTTTTGCTTTGCATTGCCTTGTCTTTGCTTTGGAACATGCTTGCTATGCCTTTGCCTTGCCTGTTGCTTTGCCTTTGCTTTGCTGCTGTGCTATGCTATGCTATGCTATGCTATGCTGCACTGTGCTATGCTATGCTATGCTATGCTATGCTGCGCTATGCTGCGCTATGCTATGCTACGCTAGGCTGCGCTATGTTATGCTAGGCTATGGTATGCTATACTATACTGCGCTATGCCATGCTATGCTGTGCTATGCTGCGCTATGCTATGCTATGCTATGCTATGCTGCGCTATGCGATGCTATGTTGGGCTATGCTTTGATACGCTAAACTAAGCTAAGCTAAGCTAAGCTACAGCTACGCGAAGCTAAGATGAAGCTAAGCTAAGCTAAGCTAAGCTAAGCTAAGCTAGGCTAAGATGAGATAAGCAACGCTAAGCTAAGGGAGCGTCACTGGGGGAACCGCGGGGCGGATCCTGGGGGAACCGCTGGGGGCGGGGAACACTGCCCGGTCCTTTAAGCAAACACAGTAAGAACCCTTCTAGGCAGAACCTAGGTAGGGAAACAAACATGGAACCCGTACACCCCCCAGCCCGAAATTCGGGTCCAATTCGGGTCTTCGGGTTGGTTTGGGGTGCTCTGGTAGGTAGTCAATGTTGGCGACCAGAATGCGAGTGAGCCCGACTTTTTTTAATGCGGTTTTCGGGTGACACGTGTCACCGGCGTGTTGTTTCACATTGTATGGCCCCATGCTGGCGATCAGACTACGAATGAAACAGCGAGTTTTTTGTTCTCACACGATTTTCGGGGTGTCACGTGTCACCCGTGCGTTGTTTCGCAATGTTTGGCCTCATGTTGGCGTCCAGAATACGGGTGAAACAATTGGCTTGTCTCACGCGGTTTCCGGGGTTACACGTGTCATTTGTGTGTTGTTTCACACTGTATGGCCCTTTGTTGGCGTCTAGAGTACGAGTAAAACAATTGGTTTTTCTCACACGGTTTTCGGGGTGACAAGTGGCACCTGTGTGTTGTTCCACACTGTATGGCCCTATGTTGGCGCCCAATATAAGAGTGAGACCATAGGTTTTGCTCACACGGTTCTCAGGGTGACGCGTGCCACCCGTTTGCTGCTTCACACTGTATGTCTCCATGTCGGCGCCCAAAGTATGATTGAAACAGATGGTTTCGCTCACACGGTTTTCGGGGTGACACGTGCTACCCGTGTGTTGTTTCACACTGTATGGCCCCATGTTGTCGTCCAGGATAACGAGTGAAACACTTGGTTTTGCTCACGCGGTTTTCGGGGTGACATTTGTCGCCCGTGTGTTGTTTCACATTGTATGGCCCCATGTTGGCGTCCAGAATCAAGTACACGTGAAACAATTGGTTTTCTCACACGGTTTTCGGCGTGACACGTGTCACCCGCGTGTTGTTTCACATTGTATCACCCCATGTTGGCGACCAGACTACGAGTGAAGCAATCGGTTTTTCCCACACGGTTTTCGGGGTGACAAGTGTCACCGGCATGTTGTTTCACACTGTATGGCCCCATGTTGGCGTCAAGAGGACGGTTGGAACAATTGGTTTTTCTCACGCGTGTTTCGGGGTGTCACGTGTCACCCGTGCGTGGTTTCGCATTGTATGGCCCCATGTTGGCGAGCAGGAGACGAGTGAACCAGTTGTTTTATTTTCACACGGTTTTCGGGGTGACACGTGTCACCCGTGTGTGGTTTCGCAATGTATGGCCCCATATTGTTGTCCAGGATACGAGTGAATCAATGGGCGTTTCTCGCACGGTTTTCGGGGTGACACGTGTCCCCCGTGTGTGGTTTCGCAATGCATTGCCCCATGTTGGCGACCAGAATACGAGTGAAGCAAGTGTTTTTTCTCATACGGTTTTCGGGGAGACACGTGTCACCCGTGTGCTGTTCCACATTGTATGACCCCATGTTGGCGTCCAGAGTACGAGTGAAACACTTGGTTTTGCTCACACGGTTTTCGGAGTGACATGTGTCACCCGCGTGTTGTTTCACATTGTATGGCCCCATGTTGACTTTCAGAATACAAGTGAAACAATTGGTTTTGCTCACACGGTTTTCTGGGTGACACGTGTCGCCCGTGTGTTGTTTCACACTGTGCGGCCCCATGTTGGCGTCAATAATACGTTTGAGACAATTGGTTTTCTCACACGGTTTTCGGCGTGACACGTGTCACCCGCGTGTTGTTTCACATTGTATGGCCCCATGCTGGCTTTCAGAATACGCGTGAAGCAATTGCTTTTTTTCACACGGTTTTCGGCTTGAATTCAAGCCCAACCCAGAATTTCGACATTCGCTGGGACCCCAGGCTCTGGCCGTCGCCGCAGCCCGAGTTTGTTTTTCGTTGTATGCTTCCTTTGTTTTCGCGCGCCTCAAACGGGACCTCCCCTTTCGCCCTAGCCTCGGCCTTGTAGCCCTCGCTGCAGCCCTGGTTCGTTTTTCCTTTCGCTCTTCGTTTGTTTTGTTTTGCCCTTTCGTCTGGTTCAAGCCCCAGCCCTAACCTCGCCCTGGCCCCAGCCGTCGTCACATGCCTTCTCTTGTTTTTCGTTTTGTTTTTCGTTTTGTTCAGCGCATGCCCCAACCCGCACCTTCCCCCCCCCGCCTTAGCCCAGTCCTCCGCCGTAGCCGCAGGCCGAGTTCGTTTTCGTTGTGACTTGCTTAAGCCCAATCCAGAGCCGCGACATTTGTTGGACCCCCAGGCCCTAGCCGTCGCCGCAGCCCGAGTTTGTTTTTCGTTTCGTTTTTCGTTTGTTTTCACAATCGCCTCAAATTGGGCCTCGCCCATCGCCCTAGCCCGGGCCCTGCAGCCCTCGCTGCAGCTTTGGTTGGTTTTGGTTTTGTTGTTTCGTCTTTTTTGTTTAGTCGTTTTGTCTGGTTCAAGCCCCAGTCAGAACCTCGCCCTGGCCCCAGCCGCCGTCCTATGTTTTCGTTTCGTTTTTCGTTTTGATTCGAACGCGGTCTGCGAAGTGCGTTTCGTTTTTCGTTTTGTTTTCCCTACGAGCGATGGCCTCGTTTCGTTTTTCGATTTCGTCTGCACCGGTTTCGTTTTGAGCGTTCGTTGTCCAACGGTCGGGTTCCTTTTGTTTTTCGTTCTAAACACCAGCGCGTTTCAATCCTCGTTGTGGTCGGTCCTTGCATTCTTCCCGTGGCTGGCGCGCGCAGCCCCCCAGAGGCTGGCGACTCGGGCCGAAGGCTGATGGGGCCTGCCCGTCTGGAAGTTCGTGCTTCGGGTGCGGGCTTGACTTTTCTCCCAGGGCCCCTCCATCCATCTCTCCGCCCGAACTCGGCTCGGGTCCTTCAGCTGGCGTTTTCCCCCTTCGCAGTAGTAGCCCTGCCCCCCTGCTTCGGTTTGGCAGGCTATGGAAACGCTGGGCATGGAGTCCAACAAGTTCCCCCCCTTCCTCCTCCTCCTTGCCGCCTCCCCCTTCCTCCTCATCCCCTTCCTCTCCCTCTTCCTATTCCACCTCCTCCCTCTTCCACCTCCTCCCTCTTCCCTCCTGCTTCCCTCTCCCTCCTCCCTCTCTTTCTCCTCTTCCCTCGCCTTCCCCTGATGTTCTGAGGTCCTGTCAGAAGAAGGCCGTCGCCCTCATCCGGAAGCTCGCGAAAACGAATCATGAACGAGACCTCCCAAAGGCCCAAGCGCGGCCCGCCCGCCCTATTCTGGGAAGGGGGGGGGGAGGGAGGGAGGGAAGGAGAGGAGGAAGTGGAGGAGGAGGAGGAGGACGAGGAGGAGGAGGACGAGGAGGAGGAGGAGGAGGAGGAGGAGGAGGAGGAGGAGGGAGAAGGAGGAGGAGGAGGAGGAGTAGGAGGAGGAGTAGGAGGAGGGGGAGGAGGAGGAAGAGGCGGACGCAGAGCCCCGACGCCAGCTCCAACGTCGGCGCCGCAGCTCAAGCGCCAGCGCCTGCGCCAGCGAAGACGCCCACAGCGACGCCAGCATCAATGCCTGCGCCTGCGCCAGCACCAACGCCAGCGCCCGCGTCAGCGCCGACGCCAGCATTGACGCCAGTGCGAAGGTTAGCACCTACTGACGCGGGCTCCGACTCCAACGCCGACGTCGATGCAAAGGCAACGCCGACGTCAGCACCAACGCCAGCGCATGCGCCAGCTCCGACACCAGCTCCGACATTTGCACCGACGCAGCAGCTTGAGCGCGGTCGGGTCTAGCAGCGCCGCTTCTAGTAACGTTGGTTCGATTGCAACGTGTCGAGCAGCGCTGCGCAGGCAAGCATTATCACTGCGTCGTCCACGGCCAGTCTTAGATGAACTTCGTGGCAGCAGCCAGCAGCAGTGTGAACATGGTCTGGGCGAGCAGCGCGATTTCTGTTGCGCAGATGCGAATGCAACGTTGTTGAGCAGCGCTACGCGTGGCAGTAGTGGCACGGCGATGTCCACAGCCAGTTCCTTGGTGAGTTTCACGAAGATTGCGAGCGGCAGTGCGAGCGTGGTTTGGTCGAGCAGCGTGAGTTCTAGTAGCGAGACTTCGACTGCGACGGGGTTGGGCCGTATTGCGCGGGCCAGCAGTGGCACGGCGACGTCCCTGGCCAGTTCCACGGTGAGATTCACGACGACAGCGAGCGGCATTTTCTGCGCGGGTTCTGAGTGGCCACATGTATTCATTGGTTTGCATGCACTTTTCATTCCTCCTCTTTCTCTCTCCTCTCTCTGTCTTTCTCTCTGATTTCCCACTTCTCCTCAGAATGTGATTCTTGATGTGGCGACGCTTCCATTTTTAGGGCGGCGCTGCGGTCTGGCCCTGGCTTGCATGTGGGGGTTGGCCCCCCCCCTGGGCGAGGTCGCCCTCCCTGTTCTCGAAGGGCGGTCGGCTCTCCTCGCGCGGCCTCTAGTTTAGACCGTAGCGCACTTCTGAATTTCCTTAGCTTCAGGTTCCATGAACAACCGAGCGCAGTTCTCTGCCACTCTCGTTTCCCCTTCGCTCCTCTCCTCCTCTGCTGGCTTTCTCTTATTTGCGCGACGGGAATGGGAATCGCATCTGTGTAATATGTGGCGCGGCCCGTGGAATGAACGTGCGGTACAGTCGGGGCCCTGGAGAAGGAACCCTTCTGGTTGGGGAGGGGCTCCGCGTTCCTTAAGTGTTTCACAGCTTGCCTTAGGTTTTCCTTAGGTTTTCGATATGCAATCGAAGTTTAACTTATTCAGGGTTCCTTAGGTCAACGCCCCGACTGCAGGTGTCGGCCCGCTGGTTGTGCGTGAGTGTGTGTGTGTGGCTTTGACAGCTCGCTGGCTGTTCGGGCCGCTGGGGGTGCCCGCGCGTCGCCTGTACCAGTGCCCCCTGGCGGCTTCCTCGCCTCGCTTGTTCTGTTCCTACTCCTCGTCTTTTTGCCTGTTTCGCCTCCGCTTGAGCCCCGAGTCTGGGGCCACTGCAGGCTTTTGCATTTGTCACAGCCGAAATATTTTAACGACGTCGAATCCAGCAGGCTCTATCGGAGCGCCAGTGTGTAGAGGACTGGTGCCGTGGCGTGCATAAGACGCCCAGCTGTCGCCGAAAGTCTGGGGAACCCTTCGCCCCTGGGTCTCGTTTCAGGTGCTGTCTCCACCGAGAAAACCCAAACCCCGGCGCGACCAGAGCACGCGTGTCGGGCGGGCCCCATCGCCGGCCCGTGCTACACCAGTAATGGTGAGAAACATGCGCCGGTCCACCAGTCCACCAGTCCATTGGTCCACCAGTCCTTCGGTCCGCGGGTCCGCCAGTCCACCGGCCCACTTGTCCACTGGTCCACCCGTCCACCGGTCCACTGGTCTGGTCCACCGGTCCACCTGTCCACTGGTTCACCGGTCCACCCGTCCACCGGTCAGAACGCGCAGCTATTCCACCATCGCCCATATCCGAGGAGTCCTCGACCTCGCCGCTCAAAGCTTGCGGGGGGTAGCTCCTGCAAGCGTCCTGCCTTTGGCTGGCAGTGCACCTGCGGGCCTCCCTGTCCCCAGGCCCGGCTACGTTCGGTCTTAGTGGTGCGGTCGGTCTTCGTGGTTTCCGTGTGTGAGCGCGCAAACGTGTCCGCCCGCGAGCGTGTGGGTTGCTTGCTTCGCGTGGTTGAGCGGGTTCGTGCAACTGGGTCTCGACGCATGGTTTCCGAGCGTGGCCTGGCCCATGCTCGCGGTGCCTCCTTCTCTCGACGTCGTCCCGCCAGCGCCGATTTTCCTGCCGTGAATTCCGACATTCGTCGTTGTGACATGGCCGTGCGGGGCGATCATTGCCGCAGCCCCTCCCAGAGAGGCCGCGCGACGGGCGCCCTAACGCCCTTGCCAGTTGTGCCACGACGCCACTTCGCCGAGCTGCGAGGCCCGTTTGAAATATTTGTTGCGCGACATGTCTTCGCCGTGTAAACACCCATCGCCGCCGCTTTCTTTCCGATGCGGCCGTGCTGTGATCGGATCTTGTCAATGGGTTCCAGGAGATCGACGAAGCTGTGCTACTCGACCGCCAGGTCGTTGCCCAGGCGGTATAGATCGAGGCGACGAGTCCAAAGTTCTGCGCGGCCAGGATCTCGGCGACGCTGCCTCCTCCAAGTCCGACCGCCCGAGCGTTGAGGCGATTCTTCTCGCGGTCAGAGAGTACGACGACTCCGAGCTCGATTTCTTCGCGACGAGGTACATGCGTTCGCGTTGGCCACATAGGCGCAGCTCCTGGTGCCATCCGCGGACGCAAACGAGACCGTCGAGAGATCGTTGCATCCGAAGCAGCTGTCTTGCTCTCCGAGACCCGTGATGTCCAGCGGTTTTGTTACGGCGTGCTTTGCCAAGTCGAGAAACTCTCAATCAACGCTTCAACGGCTCCCGCGTCGTAACCATCCCTGGGTTATCCGCCAGAGTCTTTGTTTTCGAACAAGCCGTGACGCAGCTGCATGTTGTAAGGGCCTAGACTGGCCAGCTGGGCAACGCTTCGATGGGCGACGACGCAACAGAAGGTCCACGACGCTAGCACCAACGCCAGCCGCCGCTCACGCCATCGCCGAGGCCAACGCCGACGCCGGCGCCGACGCCAGCGCTTGCGCCTGCGCCTGCGCCTGCGCCAGCGCCTATTCCAGCGCCGACGCCGGCCCCGACGCCGGCCCCGACGCCAGCTCCAACGTCGGCGCACGCGCGAGTGCCGGCGCCGGCACTGGCGCTGGCATCGACGCTGGCGCGCCAGCGCCTGCGTCAGCGCCGCGCCGGCGCCGATGTCAGCACCAACGCCTGCGCCCGCGCTGGCACCAACGCCGGCGCCTGCGCTGGCGCCGATGCCAGCGCGACGCCAGCTCAAGCGCCAGCTCAAGCGCCAGCGCCTGCGCCAGCGGCGACGCCCACAGCGTCGCCAGCATCAATGCCTGCGCCTGCGCCAGCACCAACGCCAGCGCTCACGTCAGCGCCGACGCCAGCACTGACCACTGACGCCAGTGCGAAGGTTAGCACCTACTGAGGCGGGCTCCGACTCCAACGCCGACGCCGACGCAAAATCCAACGCCGACGTCAGCACCAACGCCGGCGCATGCGCCAGCTCCGACACCAGCTCCGACATTTGCGCCGACGCAGCAGTTTGAGCGCGGTCGGGTCCAGCAGCGCCGCTTCTAGTAACATTGGTTCGATTGCAACGTGTCGAGCAGCGCTGCGCAGGCCAGCGTTGTCATTGCGACGTCCACGGCCAGTCTTAGATGAATTTCGTGAGAACAGCCAGCAGCAGTGTGAACATGGTCTGGGCGAGCAGCGCGATTTCTGTTGCACGGATGCGATTGCAACGTGGTTGAGCAGCGCTACGCGTGGCAGTAGTCGCACGGCGTTGTCCACGGCCAGTTCTTCGGTGAGCTTCACGAAGAGTGCGAGCGGCAGTGCGAGCGTGGTCTGGTCGAGCAGCGTGAGTTCTAGTAGCGGGACTTCGGCTACAACGGGGTTGAGCCGTGTTGCGCGGGCCAGCAGCAGCATGGCGACGTCCCCGGCCAGTTCCACGATGAGATTCACGACGACAGCGAGCTGCATTCTGTGCGTGGATTTTGAGTGCGGCCCATTCTTTATAAGTCGGCGTACACTTATCCTTCCTCCTCTCTCTTTATCATTTCCCATCCATACTGTGATTCTTGATGTGGCGACGCTTCCATTTTTAGGGCGGCGCTGCGGTCTGGCCCAGGCTTGCATGTGGGTTTGGCCCCCCCGTGCGGAATCGCCTTCCCTGCTCCTGAAGGGTGATCGGCTCTCCTTGCGCAGTCCATTGGATTTAAACGGGAACGCTTTTTTAAATTTCCTTAGCTTCAGGATCCATGAACAACTTAGCGCAGTTCTCTGCCACTTTCGTTTCCTCTTCGCTCCTCTCCTCCTCTGCTGGCTTTCTCCCATTTGCGTGACAGGAGTGGGAATCAGGTCCCTATCATTTGAGAAGTTGCGCGGCCTGTGGAATGAACACGCGGTAGGTTTCTACCCGCTGGTTGTGTGAGTGTGGGTGGCTTTGACAGTTCGCTGGTCGTTCGGGCCACTGGGGGTGCCCACGCATCGCCTGTATCTGTGCTCCTTGGTGGCTTCCTCGCCTCGCTCGTTCTGTTCCTCCTCCTCGTCTTTTCACCTCCGCTGGATCCCCGAGTCTGGGGCCGTCGCAGGCTTTTGCGTTCGTCGCCGCAAAGATATTTAACGATGTCGAATCCAGTGGGCCCCATCGGAACGCTAGTGTGTGGAGGACTGGTACCGTAGTGTGCATGAGACGCCCAGCTGTCGCCGAAAGTCCGGGGAGCTCTTTGCCTCCGGGTCTCGTTGCAGGGGCCCTTCTGCTGCTGGTTCTCCACCGAAAGAGAAACCCATGCCCCAGCACAGCCAGAACGCGCATGTCGGGCGGGCCCCATCACCTACACGCACTGCCCGCGCAGTGGCTCCTGCCGCCACGGCGGGCGAGCCGCCTGCGGGCGGCTCGCATGAGGCTGCGAGCTGCCGCGCGTGCCATCGTTGGCTTCCCTGGGTTCCACAGCCGCAGTTTCCCAGTGCACCATCGGCGGCTCCCCCATCGCGGTTCCGGCCGTGATCGAGGAGTCTGGAACCATCAAGTTCATTTACCTTCCAAAGGTCACTCAGGTGCTTGAGTGGCTTGGATGTGACGGAGGGGCCACAAGGCGCGCCTGCCCCCCAACGTTGGGCGCATGGGGCCATCCCCCTGGGAACCCAATTCAGCCCCCGGGGCGCGGGGCCCATGAATGCTCCCAGGGTGCCCCCCCGACGGCTCGAGAGGGTTCCGTGATGACCGCGGTAGGGCTCAGGGAAATGAGGTTGATTTTCTTTCCGCACGTTTTGGCCAGATCGCGCCAAGACGCCCCAGGAGGGCTCCAAGACGGTCCGAGAGGCGCCGCGCAAGACGTCCGAAACGGGCGCCCAGAGAGCCCCGAAGAGGCCCCAGATGGGGACCTCCGGCTGACATTTCGCACCCTCGGCTTCCAAGGGGCCACCGACACAGCCATCGGGCTCCCAGGAATCCCCCGAGCGGCCCCGGAGGCTCCACGGGAAGCCCCAGGAGGCCTCGAACAGGACGCCCAGAGACTTCCCACGAATGCTCGGTCTACACTGTACAGGGGGCCGCCGATCGACCCCCAGAGCGATCGGACAGCCGTCGAGGCGGTTCATGAGGGCGCCCAATCGCCCCCCCCCCCCCCCGGGCGGCGGAGGAATGGGAGGAGTGCGGGGGTGGCGAGAGAGGTGATTGGGATGTGGGGGAGTGCGGGGGAGATGGGGGAGCAGTTTTTGTTTGCCATCAGCGGCTTCACCACATAAGCCAACAAAGAGGCGACTCCTTACAGCACCTGTGGGCCATGCTGTAAGCTACCTGCACCGAGCAGCAGGTGCAGGAAAAGGGGCGACCTTGCCTCGGGGAGCGCCGCGCCGCCTCGGGGAGGGGGCTTCGCGAGTTCCCTTCGGAGCGCCCGCTATGGGCCCCTCCCCTCGCGGATCCGACCCTCGGCTCAGACGCCGACAACAGGGCCTCCGTCAGCTGCGCAAGACATAGCCACTGTTGAAAGCCTTGAATCACTGTCAGGCCTGCAAGGCCAGAGACAGAGCAACAGTAGAAACAGGGAGCGGCCGAGCAGAGAAGCTGAACACTCTCTGCAGCAGCGCGCACGAGAGTGACGGGTGTGCCGAGGCGCGATCGCGAGACTTGGCCCAGAGACCCGACGCTGGGTGGCCCCTCACAGGCACGCTCGAACCAGGGGGTACGAGCTACACCTGGACAGGAGCCCAAGCCAGACAACACAGCAGCTCCTTCCCTCGAAGAGGACCTTCCGCCACACGCCTAAGGCGAGGGCGACTGGGTAGCATCGACTGTGCACGACGCTGCCCAGAGAGTCCTGAAAGCCGCAGCAGGGCGTGCGGTCGGGGAGGGCAAGTTGCCTCCCCCGTACCCTGACACGCGTTTCTGGACAGAAAAGCTGGCGGCCCCCTGAGCAGCTGTCACCGCAGGGGAGACATCGCCCCACGGCCGTGCGACAGGGGGACGAGGACGGCACTGGGCAGTGAAAAGGACGGCCAGCGGTGCCTGCAAGACGAAACTCCTAAGCCCGAGTTCCAGGGCTGGCTGCGCAGCCAGCACCGCCGAGCAGGACGTCGCAAAACCCCAGGTCGAACCTGCCGCGTGAACCCAGCTCACGCCGAGAACCATAGAGGCTAAATTAACAAGCACCTCAGAGGGCGAACGGTCGGGGAGGGCGGTTGTCTCCCCCGTGCCCTGACGCGCTCTCTTGACACTGAGGGGCGGCCCCCTGAGCAGCGGTAACCGCAGGGGAGACATCACCCCACGGCCGTGCTACAATGGGGGCGAGGGCAGCACTGGGCAGTTAAACAGGACGGCCAGCGGCGCCTGCGCGACGGAACTCCAAGGCCCGAGTTCCAGGGCTGGCAGCGTAACCAGCACCGCCGAGCAGGACGCCGCAAAACCCCAGGCCGAACCTGTCACGCGAGCCCAATTCACGCCAAGAAGCAAAGCTAAAAAGGTACAAACACATCGCAGGGCGATCGGCCAGGGAGGACAGAATTGCCTCCCCCGTGCCCTAGGGGGGCGGGCAGGAGTGGGGAGAAGTGGGTGAGAGGTGGGGGGAGTGGAATGGGGTGGAGTGCAGCGGCGTGGAGCGTGGATGAGTGGAGAGGTGGAGTGGGGTGGGGGGACTGGGGAGGGTCATGGCGGGGGAAGGGTGAGGAGGCTTGGGGAGGGGGGGGGGGGCCGAGGGACGGCGGAGGATGGAGAAGTGTGGAGGACTGCGGAGGTCGGAAGAGTGCGGAGGAGTCCGGGGGAGTTGGGAAGAGTGGAGCGGAAAGCAGGAAGAGTGGAGTGGTGCGGCCCAGGCCTCTCCCGACTACCCGCCCAGCAGGCCCCCCGGACGCCCGTGGGACAGCCCAGGAGGGCCCCGAGGGAGCTCCAGAGGCTCCCCCCAGAGTTCCCGGCAGGCTTCTTTTCCCGTTCTCCCACGACCGCTCGTCCTCTCGCATGCAGGGCTCCGCCCTATCTCTCCAGGGCCGGCCTCGGCGGACGGCCTTCCCGCCGCGACGAGGGACGCGGGCCCGAAATATTTTGAGGCTGCCCCCTGAGCTTGGTGGCATCTGGTCGTCTTCTGCTCCGGTGAGAAACAGTCCTTGCTGCTGCTGCTCCTCATTGTCCTCCTTCCTCTTCCTCTTCCTCATCCTGATCTCACCCTCGCCATCCTCCTCTTCTTCCTGATCCGAGGCTGCAGTATTCGATGGCGTCAGCCTGTCTTCCGGCCAGGAGAAGGCAGGAAGCGACCCCTCCTACTCATACTCTTCGATTACCCAAGTGGCTTGCGCCATTCCGCCAACCCCCAGAAGGAGTGAATGCGACGGAGGCGCCCCGGGCGCCCGCGCCGCCCGAGCAGGTCCAGAAGCGAATCACGGGCCTGAGGGACGACAGGGGCCAGCCCTTCAAGGAGGAACACCTGTGGATGACGCTGGCGTGGATCAGGCCCTTCCTTCCGTCCCCCAAGACCCCTGCGGGTCATGAAACAAATATCACGACGGAGGGTTGTTCGTTATTTTCTGTTTCTTGGGTCCTTGCCGGACGTCGGTGCCGTTCGAAAACACACTCAGGATGAAACGGCGGTCCGTGGGAATGGATCGGGATCTCCGTTGTGGAACATGATGTGGGGGTTTGGGTCTCCTTTTTCCTCCTCCTCCTCTTCTCCCTCCTCTTCCCGCCGAGATCCTTGTGATGTGGTCGGAGTTCTTTTTGATGCGGGCAGTCGCTACTTGTGCATGATGCTGGTTGATCGTGCCCTGAAGCACCGGGACCGAAACACTTAACCATATCCGCGGCCTCGCGGGCCGTGCCCCTGGGCCGTGTCCCCACGGATACGCGGCGTTTTTCGCGGACGCCCAACGCGGAACGCGTTCGCGCGACCGCGTATCCGCGGGATCGCGCCACGGAATGCAGAGCGCGAGGGCGCGGGTACGGAGATGTTCGCTGCGTGAGGGGCGCCAGGGGCTTGCCGTTTAGTGCGGTTCTCCGCTGTGTTTTGGAGGTTTCCAGCAGGTTCCCGAGTATCTTCGATGGAATTCTGGAGGCTTCAGGTCCTGGTCAGATGCGCTTACACATCCGAAGCCTTCAAAGGTTGTTGAGAACCTCTCGAGGACACCTCGAGACCAGTCGGTGGCTGCCGGTGGATGCTCTGGACCTTGGCGGGGCCAACCAAGGGAGGAAGAATATCTACGGTTGTCGCTGGCGCGGATCAGGTGTGCAACAGCATAACGACCAGTGACAATAACCAGAGGATCGAGGTGCTGAGGTTGTTTTTGTTGGCCTCCCATGGCCCCTCTGGGCCCCAGGGCCGTCGAAAGACGCCTACGGATGAGGAGCTGGTTCAGGGGACCCCCAGGGCATCGAGGATCCGTTGTCCTCGAGATTTTCTGGCATTTTTCAGTAGCTGGTGAGTGCTTATGGCCTGGCCTGGCCCCCAGGCGCCAGGGAACATCACATTAGCGGCCCTCTGCCTTATCCGCCATCAAGTGCAGGAGGAGCTGGAGAAGGATGAGGAGGAGGTGGCGGACGAGGAGGAGAAGGGAGAGGAGGAGTACGAGCAGTGCGTAGATGAAAAGGAGGCATGGGAGGAGGCGGAGGAGGATGAGGAGGACTGGGAGGATGAGGATGATGATGTTGATGATGATGATGATGATGAGGAGGAGGAGGAGGAGGAGGAGGAGGAGAAGGAGGAGCACGACGACGACGACGACGCCGACGATACCGACGACGACGACGCCGACGACGACGACGGCGGCGGCGGCGGCGACGACGACGACGACCACGACCACGACGACGACCGACGACGACGGCGACGCCGACGACGCCGACGACGCCGACGACGACGACGACGACGATGCCGCGACCACGACGACGACGACGACGACCACGACGACGACGACGACGACGACGACGACGACGACGGCGGCGGCGGCGGCGGGTTGCGGCGATGGCGGCGGCGGCGGCGACGGCAACGACGACGACGACGACGACGACACGACGACGACGACGGCGACGACGACGACGACGGCGGCGTCGGCGACGACGACGACGACGACGACGACGACGACGACGACGGCGACGGCGGCGGCGGCGACGACGACGACGACGACGACGACGACGACGACGACGACGACGACGACGACGACGACGACGACGACGACGACGGACGACGGACGACGACGCCGACGCCGCCGCCGCCGATGACGACGACGACGACCGACGACGCCGACGACGACGACGACGACCGACGACGACAAACGACGACCGACGACGGACGACGACCGACGACGGCGGCGACAGACGACGACGACGACGAAGACGACGACGACGACGACGGCGACGACGACGGACGACGGCGACGACGACGGCGGCGGCGGCGGCGGCGACAGACGACGACGACGACGGCGACGACGACCGACGACGACGGACGACGACCGACGACGACCGACGACCGACGACGACAAACGACGACCGACGACGGACGACGACCGACGACGGCGGCGACAGACGACGACGACGACGAAGACGACGACGACGACGACGGCGACGACGACGGACGACGGCGACGACTACGGCGGCGGCGGCGACAGACGACGACGACGACGGCGACGTTGACCGACGACGACGGACGACGACCGACGACGACCGACGACGACCGACGACGACCGACGACCGACGACCGATGGCCGACGACCGACGACCGACGACCGACGACCGACGACCGACGACGGCGACCGACGACCGACGACGGCGACGGACGACGGACGACGGACGACGGACGACGGACGACGGACGACGGACGACGGACGACGGACCCGACGACCGACGACCGACGACGACGACCGACGACCGTAGACCGACGACCGACGACCGACGACTCACGACCGAAGACCGACGACCGACGACCGACGACCGACGACCGACCGACGACCGACGACCAACGACCGACTACCGGCGATAGGCGACGAACGACGGACGACCGACGACCGACGACCGACGACCGACGACGGACGACGGACGACGGACGACGGACGACGGACGACCGACGACGGACGACGTACGACGATGACGACGGACGACGGACGACGGACGACGAACGACGGACGACGGACGACGGACGACGACGATGACGAAGACCACGACGACGACGACGACGGCGACGGCGACGACGACGACGACGACGACCGACAACGACCGACCGCGACCGACGACGACCGACGACTACCGACGACTACCGACGACCGACGACCGACGACCGACGACCGACGACCGACGACCGACGACCGACGACCGACGACCGATGGCCAACGACCGACGACCGACGACGGACGACCGACGACCGACGACCGACGACCGACGACCGACGACCGACGACCGACGACCGACGACGGCGACGACGACGGACGACGGACGACGGACGACGGACGACGGACGACGGACGACCGACGACGGACGACGTACGACGATGACGACGGACGACGGACGACGGACGACGAACGACGGACGACGGACGACGGACGACGACGATGACGAAGACCACGACGACGACGACGATGGCGGCGGCGGCGACGGCGACGACGACGATGACGACGACGACGGCGACGGCGGCGGCGACGACGGCGCCGACGACGACGACGACGTCGACGACCGACAACGACCGACCGCGACCGACGACGACCGACGACTACCGACGACTACCGACGACCGACGACAGACGACCGACGACCGACGACCGACGACCCACGACCGACGACCGACGACCGATGGCCAACGACCGACGACCGACGACGGACGACCGACGACCGACGACCGACGACCGACGACCGACGACCGACGACCGACGACGGCGACGACGACGGACGACGGACGACGGACGACGGACGACGGACGACCGACGACGGACGACGTACGACGATGACGACGGACGACGGACGACGGACGACGAACGACGGACGACGGACGACGGACGACGACGATGACGAAGACCACGACGACGACGACGATGGCGGCGGCGGCGACGGCGACGACGACGATAACGACGACGACGGCGACGGCGGCGGCGACGACGGCGCCGACGACGACGACGACGTCGACGACCGACAACGACCGACCGCGACCGACGACGACCGACGACTACCGACGACTACCGACGACCGACGACAGACGACCGACGACCGACGACCGACGACCGACGACCGACGACCCACGACCGACGACCGACGACGGACGACCGACGACCGACGACCGACGACCGACGACCGACGACCGACCGACGACGGCGACGACGACGGACGACGGACGACGGACGACGGACGACGGACGACGGACGACGGATGACGGACGACGGACGACCGACGACCGACGACGGACGACCGACGACCGACGACGACGACCGACGACCGACGACCGACGACCGACGACCGACGACCGACGACCGACGACGGACGACCGACGACCGACGACCGACGACCGACGACCGACGACCGACGACTGACGACGGGCGACGGACGACGGGCGACGGACGACCGACGACCGACGACCGACGACCGACGACGACGACCGACGACTGACGACCGACGACCGACGACCGACGACGGACGACCGACGACCGACGACGGACGACGGACGACGGACGACGGACGACGGACGACGGGCGACGACGGCAGACGACGGAGGACGAACGACGACCGACGACGACGGACGACGAACGACGACCGACGACCGACGACGACTACGACGACGACGACGACCGACGACGACGACGACGCACGACGACGACGGCGACGACGGTCCCGTCGACATCGACGATGTCGCTGGGGTCTGCGGCGGTGACGTCGACGTCGGCCCCCGGCCAGTGCCACTCCTGCTCAGGGAGTTGGCGCCCGTGATCGTCCACGTCAACATGGACAAGATGCTCCGTGACGCCTCCCCGGCACGAAAGGGCCGCCTGCCCCTTCCCCTCTCCCCAATCTGCGTAAGCTCACACATTCGACCGTCCGCGCGGATTTCCTGGATCGGCGCCAGTGGCCCCCCTGGCAGTGCCTCTGGCGCGCCCCGCGCGCCAGGGAGACGGGCCCAGCGCTTATTCCAGGCCTCTCAAGTGTCGGGGGCGGCCAGGGGGGTGAGGACCAGGGGTGCGCGTGAATACCATGGCTGGGGCCAGGACGTCTCCCCAGATCTCATGGCCCCCTCTTCCTGCTTTATTGCGTTCCTTGGCCCCCCCCTGTGCCGCGCACGTGCCTCGGGCCGTGATGTGCGAACCCCCCTCCTGAACGCCGCCCTCTCTTGGACGCCCCCAGAAATGGAGTCGAAGTAGATGGGTTCGGAAGAACGCGCCGCATCGCCGATGCATCGGTGGTGCGGTTCGATGCGAGGCCTGATTTTCTTTTCGCTTACGTCGCCGATGCATCGCCAACGTCGCCGATGCATCGGCGATGCGGCGCGATCCTTCGACCCCCCCTACTACGGCCCCATTCGGAAGGACTCCATCCCCCCCCGATCGGAAGTCCCAACACTCGAAGAGTAAGCATCGGCAGAAGCGCTAGCGCTTGAAAATCCGCGCCCATCCAAGTCCCGTCAGGTGAGCCCGTGGAGATTCGAGGTCAGCGCATGTTTTTTTGGACCATGGCCGTCCTCCGAGGGTGCCTCGGGCAGCTGGGGCCGCCGAGGTCCCCAACGGCGTGCGTCCTGTGGGGATGTCGAGTTCACCGCACGGTCTGCCACCTCACCGTTCTGAGGCTCCCATCCTGCTTGTGCCTCTCCCGGCCTTGGTGCGCCTCGATGAAAGCAACACAAACGTGGACTGTTTGGATCGGCGCCAGACTCATTACCCTTGCGCGCAGAGTGCGCCAGAGGCGGCGCCAGAGGCGCCGCCAGGAGAGGAGGACTGTGAGGAGCAAGAGGGAGGTGAGGAGGAGGAGGAAGAGGAGAAATGCGAGGACGAGGAGGAACAGGATGAGAACGACGACGCGGAAGAAGAGGAAGAGTGTGAGGAGGAAGAGGAGGAGGAGGAGGAGGAGGAGGAGGAGGAGGAGGAGGAGGAGGAGGAGGAGGAGGAGGAGGAGGAGGAGGAGAGGAGGAGGAGGGGAAGAGGGGAGGAGGAGGAGGAGGAGGAGGAGGAGGAGGAGGAGGAGGAGAAGGAGGAGAAGGAGGAAGAATAGGAGTAGCGGGAGGTCCATGCGTCTACCGCCTGGGGACCTAGCGGTCCGCGGATGCAGTTCATGGAGAAAGACTCGCATTACCGCAACCAGTTCGAGACGGCCTCCTCTGGCGGGCTGCTCAAGCCTGCGGTGCGGGAGAAATGGGAGCCACGGAGAGGCGAAAGCATCACCGCCAAAACTCAGAGGAGGTCGGCTTTTTCCATTAGTTTTTTCGCCGATTGGCGTGGGCCCCTGGTCTCCCCCAACAGCAACCGCGCGAGAAGGGGTTCTTGAAGTGTTCTCCTCCTCATTCTCCTGCCGAACTCCTCTAACGTGGTCGGAGTCCCGTCGGGTCATGAAAAATCACGACGGAGTTTGTTTCGCCATTTTCGGCCTCTGGGGGCTCTTCCTGGGCCTCGGGGCCGTCACAAAAAGGCTCAGGATGAAAAGCTGGTCCTAGGGTATGGGTCGAGACCTCTGGAGGTCGGCGTTGTGACAAAATCATGGCGTCGGGTGTCTTGGTGTCTGGGCTTCCTCCTCCCTCCTCCTCCTCCTCCTCCTCCTCCTCCTCCTCCTCCTCCTCCTCCTCCTCCTCCTCCTCCTCCCCTTCCTGCCGAGTTCCCTCTGGTGCGATCCTGAGCGGCAGTGGGCGCGCGCGTGCGTATCTTGCAGACCACCCTACTACAACTTGCTGGATGAACCAAGCCACGGAACAGCCGTCCGTCTACAAGATCCACGCGAAGGGATGCCCTGAGTTAGGAGAGGAGCGTGAGGATCATCGGCGTCACCCCGACACACTGATAAAAAGTGTGCGTCGCCCCCGAAGGGGCGACGCGCGCGCGGAGAAATCTTCTAGTCGGAGGTTGGGGGGTGAGACAGCAGTGGAACGGAGAGCCCCCCACGGGGAATTCGGTTTCGGTTTCGTGTCGTGTGTGCGGGCGAGGCGAAGCTGCGTGGGCGCGCGAGAGGAATGATCCCGCCGTCGCTGGGGCGATTCGGATGCAGTGGACCGCCCCTCTGCCCCCGGTGGGCGCGCGGTGGCCCAGGGTGTCCCGCCGTGGTGTCATGTGGTGTCCCATTGGTGTCTCGTTGGTATCCCGTCGATGTTCTGTCGGCGGTGGTCGGGCGGTGGCAGAGGGTGCCCCGCCTTGGTATCGATAGTGAAGTCGATAGTGAGATCGATAATGAGATCGCTAGAGTAGGATGAATGGTGTGATCAAGCTTGAAATCGGCAGTGAGGTTGATTGTGACATTGGTTGAGCTCGCGTTGTCGAACGCGCAGGGAGGCGACGTCCCTTGGGTCGTGCAGATCTCGCGGGGTCAGGCGATTTCCCTTGGGGCGAGCACAATGGGATCGATCGCTGAACCCATTGGTGCTGAGGCTGGCCATGAGGTCGACAGTGGGACCGATCGGGTGAGATCGAAAGCGGGGACGATAGCGACAGTACATCGCAGCGCAAAATCGTCATCACGTGTTGTCGCTATCTCCTGGGCGCGTCACCAGTGTCGTCATCATCACCATCACCATCACCATCACCATCACCATCACCATCACCATCACCATCATCATCATCATCATCATCATCATCATCATCATCATCATCATCATCACACCCATCGCATTTGCCAGCAGTTTGTTCTTCCCTGCCCCACCACCAGCCTCCTTATCACCTGGAGGGTGGTCGTATCGGTATATGCTCTGTGGTGGGCGCTTTCTTGCCGAACCGCTCGGGAAACGATACACCACAGTATTCTGAATTATTTGTTCGGGTCGGACGTGCGTCTCCGAGGAGGACACATACGACTAGTATGTCCCTGTGCGCCCCAGAACAGTCTCCACCCTGACCGTCGGCAAATGTCGATTCTCTGACGAACGATTCTCGGAACCCAGACATCCGACGTCTCGATTTTTTCGAGAATCGGGACCCCGACCTCTCGATCACTTCACCGGGACCAGTTTTTCATCCCGAGTGGTTTTCATGGTCCCGAGGCCCGTTGAGGGCCCCGAGGGCCCGAAATCGTCGGGAAGAGGGAGAGGAGGAGGGGGGGGGAGGAGGAAGAGGAGGAGAGTGAGGAGGAGGAGGAGGAGGAGGAGGAGGAGGAGGAGGAGGAAGGAGGAGGAGGCCCAGACCCAGTCACCTGACCCAACGCCGTGTTTTTTTTCATAACGTCGAACTCCAGAGGTCTCGACCCATTCCCCGGGACTGGTTTTCCATCCTGAGTCGTTTTTTGAAGGCTCCGAGGCCCGGTAAGGGCCCCCCTCACAGGCCGAAAATAGCGCCGTCGTGCGACTTTTTCGAGGCGCCGGATGTCGCGGACCCTCGCAGGGAGGGGCCTCGCACACTCCTCCTCCTCTTCCTCCTCCTCCTCCTCCTCCTCCTCCTCCCTGGAGGGCGGCGCCTGCCTGCTGCGAGCGGGGCCCCGTGGCGCAGCGGAGGGGGCGCCTGCCCAGCCACACTGGGGGCCTCGGTCTGTCAAGCAGTGGCGAAGCGTACCGGCTTGCCCATAGGCCCACCAAAGAATGTTCTTAGAGCATTTCTGGCTGAGTCTGTCTTGTTTTACTGCGTCGGCTTCATGTTCTAGGAGCATTCCGTTTGTTGTTAGAACATGTTTCGTTCAAAGGGCACTTCGTGGTAGGCCTATAAGATTGCCAGGGCGGTCGGTCCTTGCTCAAGTTTGAGCGGCGCCCTGGGCGCGGAGCTCGGTGCAGCCTAGGCGCTTCGATAAGGACCACTTCTCTAGGCCTCCCAGATGGTGCCCTCGAAGGCACCCTCTTCTTGATTCCCCAATCAGTGCTTGCACTGAAGGGGTCCTAGCGGATGTTGAAACATGTGGCGAACGTTCCAGGCCGATTTAGGTAAGCGGCGCTGCGGCCGGGGGGTTCCTGGGTTCCTGGTTCCGGGTTCCCGGTTTCCCAGTTCTTGGTTCCGGGCCGATTTCGGTGGGCGGCGGGGTTTGGTGGGCAGCGGGGTTCCCGGGGTTCAATTTTTGGGTCCCGGGCTCTTGAGTCCCTGGTCGATCTCACTATCGATGTCATTATCGATCTCACCATTCATCTCATGCAATCGATCTCACTATCGATCTCATTACCGACCTCACTCTCGATTTCACTATCGATCGCACGATCGATCTCTTGATCGATTTCACTATCGATCCCACTCAATCCTTATCACTACCCATCTCGCTATCGATCTCACTATCGATCCTGGTACCGAGCTTACTATCGATCTCACTCAATCGACCTCACTACTCATTCGGAAAGAGCGTGTTCTACCGCTTGTGGCGGAAAACCGGGGGGGACACTGGGGGTTCCCAACCTGTCCCTTTTCGATCCCCCCCCCCGAAAACTGGGGGGGGGGGTCACTACAGGTTCGAACCCTTCCCCCCCCAAGTCCATCATGAAAAGGGGGGGGGGGGGTCACTACCGGTTCGAACCCTTCCCCCCCTCGAAAACGGGGGGGGTCGTTACTGGTTCGAACCCCCCCCCTCGCCGCCGGCAAACGATTCCCGCTCCTCGGGACAGTTGGACAATGGTGGGGATACTGGGACAGTGGTGGGAACGGTGGTGGTGGGGACAGTAGTGCGGGGACAGTGGGACAGTGGTGCGGACAGTGGTGGGGACGGCGGTGGTGGGGACAGTGGTGAGAGGACAGCGGGACAGTGGTGGGACAGTGGGACAGTGGTGGGGACGGTAGTGGTGGGGACAGTGGTGATGGCTGTGGTGAGGACAGTGGTGGGACAGTAGTACAGTGGGGAGAGTGGTGGGGACATTGGGGACAGTGGGACAGCACAGTGGGACAGCGGCGGGGACAGTGGGACAGTGGTGGGTACAGTGGGGACAGTGGGACAGTGGTTGGGACCGTGGGGAAAGTGGGGAGAGCGGGACCGTGGTGGGACAATGGTGGGGAGAGTGGGGACAGTGATACACTGGAGGGGGCACTGGTGGGGACAGCGGGGACAATGGTGGGAACAGTGGGGACAGTGTGGGACAGTGTTGGGGGCTGTGGGACAGTGGTGGGGACGGTGGTGGTGGGGTAGTGGTGTGGGGACAGTGGGAATGTGGTGGGGACGGTGAGACAGTGGTGTGGGCTGGTGGTGGGGACAGTGGTGAGGGCGGTGGTGAGGACGGCGGTGGGACAATGGGACAGAGGTACAGTGGGGACAGCGGTGGGGACAGTGGGGACAGTGGTGGGAGCAGTCGGACAGCTCAGAGGGACAGCGGCGGGGACAGTGGGACAGTGGGACAGTGGGGACAGTGGGACAGTGGTTGGGGCCGTGGGGAAAGTGGGGAGAGTGGGACCGTGGTGGGAACAGTGGTGGGGACAGTGGGGACAGTCCGACAGTGGTGGGGGCACTGGTGGGGACAGTGCGGACGGTGGTGGGAACAGTGGGGACAGTGGTGGTGAGGACAGTGGTGCTGGGGACAGCAGTGGGGGATGTGGTGCGAACGGTGGTAGGGACTCAGGAGTCGTTTGCCAGCGGTGAGCGTGGGGGGGGTTTTCGAACTGGTAGTGACCCCCCCAGTTTTCTGGAGGGGGCGGGGGGGGTCGAGCCGGTAGTGACGCCCCCCTGGTTTTCTGGAGCGGGGGCTCGAACCAGTAGTGACCCCCCCGGTTTTTTGGAAGGGGGGGGGGTCGAACTGGTAGTGACTCCCTCCCGGTTTTCTGGTGGGGGAGGTTCGCACCGGTGGTGACCCCCCTGGTTTCCCGGCGGGGGGGAGGGAGGGGTTCGAACCGGGACCCCCCTCGGTTTTCCGGAGGGAAGGGGGGGGTTCGAACACGTAGTAACCCCTTCTTCGTTTTTCCAGAGGGGGGGGGTCGAACCGGTAGTGACCCCCCGCGGTTTTCGGGAGGGGGGGGCGGGGGGGTTCGAGCGGTGGTGACCCCCCCCCGGTTTTCGGGGAGGGGGGGGGATTGGGGGGGGTTTGCCGGGGGGGAAGGGGGGGAGGTGGGGGGTTCCAGCAGGGGGGGATTTTCGGAGGGGGGGGGGACCCCTGGGTTACGGAGGAAGAGACGGGGGGAATTTTCCACAGTAAAGCGGCGGTGGATCACGCTCTTTCCATTATCGGTATCACTATCGATCTCACGATCGATCTCAATTTCGATTTCATTCAAATAGCAGTATCGATCGCGCTATCGATCTCACTATCGCTAGCATGACAAGGCATCGCATATAACATAGCAGGGGACACCCGCGCGCCACGGGACATCACGGGACACCACGGGACACCATCGGGACATCTTCGGGACACCAACGGGACACCATCGGGACACCGGCCAACACGGGGGACAGCAACATTTGGTCCGGCTTCGTCCCGCCCGCGCAGCTTCGCCTCGCCCGCACGCGCGACACGAGCGTGCATCCGAAACCAATATCCCAGTGAGGGGGTCTCCGTTTCACTGCGATGCCGTCCCAAATCTCCGATATGTATATATATATATAGAGAGAGAGAGAGAGAGAGAGACAGAGAGACTCTGAGACTCGAGAGAGGGTGAGAGAGAGAGAGAGAAACAGAGAAAGAGAGAGAGAGAGAGATAATAAAGACTGAGGGAGGCGGTGTAGAGAAAGAGAGAGAGAGAGAGAGAGAGAGAGACAGAAAAAGTGCGTGTAGGGACACACATATGTACATAGGTGTATATGTGTGTAGATATGTCTGTGTGCACCTGAAGATATCGGGAGTAACACACACATACATACATATATATATATACGTATATATATATATATATATTATGTATATATAGAGCGAGAGGGAACGAGAGAGAGAGAGAGAGAGAGAAAGAACGAGAGAGAGAGGAACTTACAATTTCCCAATCAGTGCTGGCACTGAAGAGGTCCTAGCGGAGATTGAAAGATTTGGCGAAAGTTCCGGGCCGATTTCGGTGGGCCGCCGGGTTCCGGGTTCCAGGTTCTGGGTTCCGTGCCGATTTCGGTGGGCGGCGAGGTTCCCAGGTTCCCAGGTCCCTGGTCGATCTCATTACTCCTTTCTTTATCGATCTCACTACCGATCTCACAGTCGAACTCACTATATATCTCACAACCGGTCTCACTATCTATCTCACGAGCGATATCACGATCGTTCCCACTATCGATCTCATTGAATCGCCTTCACTATCGGTCTCACTATCGACCTTACAATCGTCCTCATTATCAATTCCACTACCGATATCACAACTGATCTTTAAATATCCATATCACTAACTTTGAGAGAGCGTGATCCACCGCCGCTTCAATGTGGAAAATTGGGCGGCCCCCCCCCCCCCCTACTTCCCTCCGGAACCCGGCGTCAACCCCCCCCCTCCGAAAATCCCAATCCCCACCCCCGCTGGACCCCCCCCCCCCTCCCCCCCGCCCCTCCAGAAAAACGTTGGTCAGTCCACTACTTGGTTCGACCCTACCCCTCCCCCCCAACCCCGCCCACAAAGCCCCCCCTCCCCCTCGAAAACCGAGGGGGGTCACTACCGGTTCGACCCCCCCCCCCTCCCCCCCAGAAAACCAGAGGAAGGTCACTACCGGTTCGAACCCCCCGAGGCTGGTTCGGGGAGGGTGCCCCCAATGTTCTTCGTGCTGTCTGATGTTTTTGTGTATCCTGGGGGATGGTACCCTCGAGTGCTCTTCAGTTTGGACGGCGGAGGGTCGCATGTTCTTGACGGATGTTCTTCTGTCCTAGGTCTGGCCGTACCCAGCGTTCCGCCTGGTAGCACGATGACTGTACGACGGAAGTGGTTGCGTCAAGAATGGGGACGAAGACCAACAGCAGCTCCTGCCCAGTTTGAGCAGGATTCGCCGTTTGTGTCGCTGCGGGCGTTGTCCAGTTGAGGCGCAAGCTCGCCTGCCCAACCGCGACCGCTGTCGGCTTTAGACAGCACGCATCGAGGCTTCTTTTCCGTACCCACTGCGGGCGTACCAAAACTCCAGCGCCCTTGAGGGTGCACCGTTCTGCGGGCCTGCGCTTCCTTCCCTCTGCTGCTTGCGACTCGCTGCTGCTCCCTGGCGTTGTCTCACTACAGACGAGCGCCAGTACGAATATGTAACCCTTCATGTTTCACCGCGAGCTTTGCTGGCATCCCTACAGTAGGCATGTTTGGACCGTGGGACGCTGGCGCGGATGGGTGCAGTATCAGTGAATAAGAAGAGAAGAATAATAATCAAAGTAAACGGATAATAACAATACTAATAGTAATCGTAAGAAGAAGAAGCTGTGCGGGGCTTGCTCTGAGATTCGACGTTGCTAGAAATTACCACTCTGCGGACAATCAGGACCAGAGCCAGATCGGTCTTTGATGGCCCCGTGGCCCGAGACAAGGCAATGTATCACCCGTTGTGGAACAGTTGCAACGCCAGGACCTCAGGGTGCTAGGGCGGTGCCTCATGACGCTGGGCGACGCAAGCCCGGCGACCACCAAGACCCCACGGGCCCACTGTTCATACAAGCCATCGCTCGAAAGACAGCCTCTCGACGTGGCTGGGCGCTTGGATACCACTCGTGTGCACGGCGCTCGAGATAGCTAGGCAGCTTAGTCGCTCCACGACTGTGCCACTGAGCTTGTCATCGTGCTGCTGAGTCCGCCCCCCCCTCTCCCCTCCAAAATTGCAAAAAACAACCCAAGCCCACATGGGCCCACTGTCCGCTAGATCCGGGCTTCGGCAGCAAATCATGGGAGCCTTGTATGTTCTCGTATTTCCGTATTGAGGGTGCATTAGCGTGCGGCGCCTGGTAATCGGTGAGAAACTGCGAATGAAGCGTCGACTAGCGTCGATTTATCGTCGACCAGCGTCGATTCAGCGTCGATTAGCGTCGATGTGGCGTCGACTCGCAAGAGACGGCAGGATGGCATGGGAGGCTCGCAGGAGTTACCACAGAACCTTCTCGGCCGCGGTTGCCCGGGAGATGCGACCTCGAGCGGCAGCAAGAGAGCGTTGTTTTAGCGTCGATCAGCCCCGATCAGCCTCGATCAGCGGGGGGGCGTCTGTCCAGCCGCACCTGGGCCTCGTTTGAAGCGGCGCCCCGGGCGTGGAGTCTTCGGTGCCGTGACGGCGCTGCGACGAGGACCGCCTCCCTGGGGCTCCCAGAATGGTGCCCTCGAGTGCTCCCTCTCATTGAGGAGCGTCGAGTCGCGTCGGTTCGCAAGGGCCGGCAAGGTGGCAAGGGGCCCGGGAGCTGCCACGGCACCCGGCGCCGTGGGAGCGCCACGGAGCAGGCGCGACCGCTCCGCCGTCGGGCCCCTGGGGTGCCCCTGCGCGGATCGATGCCCCCGCAGCGAGGATCGGCGCCCGCGAGATCGGTCGATCGTGTCTGGGCTGTGGGCGCGGGCGACGCCGTGGCGATGACGAAGCTGGCCTTCGGCAAGCCGCTCCTCATCGCCCGCTGCGGGGGCGTGGAGTTCGAGGTATGCCCGCACAACGTCGCGGGCGCGATGCTTGCCGAGCCCTTCGCCGGAGCAGCGGAGGGCGATGGGCAAAGCCCAGCGGTCGAGGTCTTCATCGGGGACCTCCCGACCATCCAGGCGTGCGGTGAGGGCACGGGCGAGGCGGTGGTGCAGGAGTATGGCGAGCGTCCCCCCGTCCCTGTCTTCCCGACGACGGAGGTGGCGACGGCGCAGCGCTTCGAGGGCTTCGAGGCGCCGCTCGCTGTGGCCAAGGGAGTTGGGACCGAGAAGATCGATGGGGACCCTGAATGCCAAGGCCCACCCTCGGCAGAACCTGGGCTCCCGACCCAGCCTGGTCCTGGACGGTGTCGTCAACGATGGCTCCGAAGATTCACTGCGTGGACGAATTCGTCCGCACAGCAGGCGCCTCCGCGCGAGCGGGCACGCGCCGGGAGGCCGCCAGGGCGCCGGGCGCTGGTGGCGTCGCTGCTGGGGGTCCGCCGGGTCCTCTCTCTCTCTCCGAGCAGGACGACGTGACGAGGTCGAGACGTGGATGGAGGTGCCGATGGTGCTGCGCACTGGCAGGGCGCAGCTCGTGGTGGGCAGCGCGAACAGGTATATGCTGGAGTGCGTGAGCATGGTCGACATCGACGGCGTGGACCCAGAGAGGGATTCTGAGCTGGAGGAGCTCGGGGCGACGGTGGAGGTGCCGACGGTGCCGTGCGTCGTCAAATCGCTGCTCGGAGAGGGCAGCGCTGACGGCAGCACGCTGGTGCTCGGGGCCGGGGTCGACAACTTCGGCGAGGATTCCGAGCTGGAGTTCGGGAGCGGGGTCGACATTGACGGCGCGGGCCTCGTGAGGGACTCCGAGCCAGAAAAGTGCGAAACGACGGTGGATATGCAGACGGTGGCGCACACCGCCAAGGCGCAGCTCGCAGGGGGGAGCGTGATTGAAGGCGAGGAGGCCCAGGAAGTCAACCTCCAGCGGCACTTCGACTCCGTGTTCGCGGCCAATGAGGAAGCCGACTCGCGGGTGGTCGTGGCGCGCGCCGCCCTTCTGGCCCAGTGGCGGCTCGTGACCGACGAGCTGGAGACCATGCGGGCGGTATATGGAGCCGACGGTGCAGCACGTCACCAGCAGCGTCATGAGAGTCGTGGCCGAGCAGGTGGTGCACTCGTGGACAAGACGTGGGAGCGACGGGACTGTGGCGCCCATGTGCGTCGAGAGGGTCGGGCGCAACGGCGTCACTTCGCTCGCGGCCGACTGTGATCTCTGGCGGGCGGCCAGGATGGCAATGGGGCCTGCCTGTGAGATAGTGCATGTGTCACGTGTGTATATGCGCCACTCGGTCCCGTTTGACCTCTAGTGGCCCCTTTTTGCCACTGCGCTAAAACGCATCATACTCACACTGGTAGCGGAGCTGCCACGCGATCCCCGTATCGTAGCACTGCGCGCGCGTCTCGTCAGAGAGTGTCGCACTATCTCTCCTTCCTGTACTGGCAGTTTCCCTCGCCAGGGGACTGGGCCTTGCGCCATGGCGCTTTCTTGTCTTCGCTATCGGCCGACGCGCCGACGTGCTGACGCGGTCCGAGACGAAAAGTGGCTCCTGCATCTATGACGGCACGGTGAACAACTTTCATGAGTGGGAATTCCGCACAGAGATGCGCATGAATGCCGCCTTGGCCTCAGTGGATCAAGAGACGCGTGCGCCGCAGCAGCGCGTGATCGCCGCAGCTGTCAGCGAGGTTGTAGAAGGCCTCGGAGGTGACGCATTCGATGTTGCCATGGGTACCGGTAAGGACGTGCTTTTGACTTCGAATGGGATCGGTCAGCTGGTGCTGGCGATTCGTACCCCACTCTTCCCCATAGGGGCGCAGGAAGCGAAGATCCTGTTCCAGGTGGGGCAGAGACCATATGGACCGCTGTCTCGGCAGAGCGGTGAGTCGATGGCCTCGTGCATCTCCCGAAGGAAGCGCTGGTGGAAACTTGCCCCCAGTTAGATACTAAGATCTTGATGAGCGACGATATGCTTGGCTCCCTTCTCTTGGGCCGTGCAGGCCTCTCGCCTCCGGAGAATCTGATGGCGTTGGCATCCGCAGGACATGTGACAATCTTCGACAATATCAAGGGCGTCTTGATCCTCCAGCACGACCGCATGCACATCTGCCAAAAAGGCAGGGGTGAGTCTGGTAAAGGCTCCAGCTCTTCGACCTGGACGCAGCCCAGACCCAGCTGCCAGAACAGGAGCAAGGGCAAGGGCATGGTGCGCTTCTCCAGGCCGCAACGCGCTTTCTGCACTGCTGATGATGGATGGTACGAGCAGGAGGAGTATTACCTTGAGGAGTTGAGCCCCTACGGGTACTGCACGTCCGGCCATCCGCCAGAGCGCGGCTGGGCCGACGCGGCCTAGGACGACTACGCCGACGAACGCACCTGCGTCCACGAGGAGTCGTATGCTCACTGGGCTCCTGTCCAGGATAGCAGCGAGCTCGACGTCGAGGTGGTCGACGAGATGGTCAAGGCCGGATGCGCGGAGGAAGAAGCTTCTGACGCGATCCAAGAGGATCTCGTCGCCGACCGCGGCGCCAAAGGGAGGGGCGAGGGCAGAGGAAAGAGCGGGGGCAAGGGTTGCCACTGCGCGCCCTGGTCGCCCAATGGAGGCGGCGAGGGAAGACCTTCCCTGGAAGATCGCAACAGAGCGGCTCCAGGATATCAAGGAACGCTCGAGCTGCAAGACTTGCCGCGACACAGGCCACTGGTCCGGGGGCCCCGACTGCAAGGGCAAGCCCAGGGCGGCAATGGTAGCGCGCGCTGGAGACACTGGCGAGCGCCGTGTCCAGTTGCGCGAGGACGATGGCGAACGAGAGTTCGCATCCGTCAGTCCTGTTGCTGCATCGTCATCAATCCCTCATCGTGTCATTGGGGGCAAGGGGGAGTCGGTGAGCATGGATCCTGGTGTTTCTCGTTTCTGCTCTTCTTTCACCCCTCGCGTTGTGCGCCACGGGGCATGTGCGCATGAGGGGGGGGGGTAATTGCGACGGACAGTGTAGCTTGCAGCACAACCGCGTTGAAAGTCATGTCTGCGCGAGTTGCCCAGGAATGACTGCGGCCACTCCGTTTCAGGGGCCTCCTAGGCTCCGGGGGAGGACGAGTCTTCAGACCTCTGCAGAGGCCGAGGGAGATACTCTTGGGTTCATGGCTGTTCGCTCGACCGAATCTTATTCGAAGGCTCGTGTTTCTGATGTGGAGTTTGAGGGGGGGGGGGGGGGGGGGGGTCTGTTTCGGATCCTATCTCTGTTCCTTGTCAGGGTGCTGTGTTTGCTTCGGGTCAGCGCAAAGGGCATTGTTATGGTCGTGCTCTCAGAGATACTCCAGATCGCGCGGATTTGGGTCGCAGGGTGAAGCAATCAAGTGAGTGTCTGATTCTGTTCCTAGGATGGATTGATGGCGCCTTTGCTCGGAAGGAAGACGGGCAGTTTTTGAAAGTTTCGGGGCCGAGAGTTTCCAGTGGCAAAGTTTTGCCATCTTCGACTTCTTCTGGCCTGAACAGGGGGCCCCTAGGTCCCCCGTTGCCTCGTCCATGTGCTCGAGGTTGTAGTGACCTCTCGGGAGTCGGTTCTAGCGCTCGTTTCATTGTTCGCACCTGCAAGAATTGTTGGCACAAGGCCAAGAAGGAGAGGTGCACGGCGCTGCGCTCTCCGGGGGAGTGTCCGCGCGATCTCGTGGACAATCGCGGCAGAACTCCAGGTGTTGTTCGTGCGTGTTGTTGTCGTTGCCTGACATGCGTCGACGAGCAGCCCGGGGAGCTAGCAGAAGACAAGAAAGCAACGGCTAAGAATGTTGAGCGCTCCAGCAACATTCAAGCAGGGGCAAGAGAGCGTATTGCTGAGGATGATCGCCGTATCACCTTTACAGAGATAAAGGTTGTACTAAAGGCTTTCACTAAACGCGCTGTTGAGATTTGCGATGGCACGGTGATACTAGCACAGGTGAACTAACTTCTTTGCTTCGCGGCTGTGTCCCAGAGGTCACAGATCACAGTCTTCTCGGTTCTATGGCTCTAACGCAAAACGATTCGACCGCAGTGTCGGCTCTTTCTAAACTTCGTGCGGCTGATGTCTTCAAGGGCGACGGTGTTTGGGCTGCGCTAGGCGAGGGCTGCGATTCTGGTTGGCACGGTAAAGCTGTGGCTCTTAACGCGAGAGGTAAATTAGAGAAAGTGTGTGTGTGTGTGTGGCGTGGGGGTGGTGGTGGTGGTGGTGGGGGTGGGTGGGGGTGGGGGGGGGGGGTTATCCTAAATTGGTTCGCAGACAACGTGAGACGTGCAGCGGCATAGGTTGACAGGCAGGGGGTGGGACGACAGGTAAGCATAGTTTTCCGTTTCGTATCGTTGCTTCTCGTGGAGCCGTGAGTGGGTGTCTCGAGTCACGTCAGTTGAAAGATTCGGATCTTGTTCCTCTCTTGCTGTCTTGTCCTGCGCAGGCTTCCTTCGGTCTCGCGAAGGATCTTGCTCGTGGTCGCGCTCCCTTGAGTCAGGAAGGTGAGGTAGGAGTGCGTTGTTGTGCTCGCTCAGGTCTTCTTTTCATTCGCCTTGATCAGTTTGGCCCAGAGCGCGTTGCGGAGTCCACTCGTCCGTTGCACATTTCGTACCAAGCAGCTTGTGACCAGCCGTGCTGCGCAGCTCCCGCCGGCCGCGCTGCGGCGCCTGCTGTCGCCGCGCCGCTTGCTGTCGTCGACCGCTCCAGTGACGACGGGGTCACGTGTGTGCCTGCGCCCGTCGATCACTCCAGTGACGACGAGGACGTGCGGGTCGCTGCCGTGGCTGCTGGCGCTGGTGCTCGTCCCACCACAGGGCTCGAAGTTTGCTGTGATCACGCTGGGCTTGGAGAACTTCGAGAACAATCCGAGGTGCTCGGGGTCGGCGATACTGACGGAGTGCATCCGCAGTCATCGCTGTTCCAGTCGCGAGATGACTACCAAGGGACGCGGCGGCAAGGTCGTCATAGATGCGCTCGCTGTGCAAATTAGAAGATTGCGAACTATGATCGGTCTGTGTTGGTGGACTCCAGGGCTCTGAACGACCCGGCTCGCACGCGCCGTATCGGTCATCATCCGAATATCCTGCGCGATTTAGTTGAAAATCAACATTTTGCTAGCACCGCTGAGTATGAGGGAAGATCTTTGGCGAAGAGCGCGTCTTCACATACTGTATGCATTGTTGCCATCTGTCGTTCTTGTCGGCGTCGCTCTGTTGCTGTCAGTTTTGGTTGTAAGCAGTCCCTGAAACAGTGCGACATTGAATGCAGTTCTGACTGTTCTGCGCACCTGAGTCGACGTGAGTGGCCCGAGCGTGTTGGTCACGGAGAATGTGATGATTGCTGCCACTTATCCGGTTGGGCCCGTGAGATGGCGATTTCTGCGGCTGACAAGATGGCTTCGCGCTGCACTGAATCCTTCGAGAAGTTCAGTGCGCCGCCGCCTTCAGTTCCTGAGCCGTCTGCCAAGCGCAGACCCCGTGAAGGGGCTGAGCTGGCCAGGAGGGAGGAGAGGAGATCTTGCTCTCCATGGAGTGTGGTTGACGGAGTAGATGATGAGGACGTGGCCACTGTCATCCGTGCACACATAAAAACGATATTGCGTGAACGTCTCGGCGCTGACTATTCTGCAGCAGATTTCAAGACCATGATGAGGCGATATGTTGGGCGCGAGCTGCAGTTCTATTTGAAGATCTGCCACGAGGACAAGAGGCCGCCTGCAAATTTATATGCGATTTTGACGTTGTGCTCGTGAGTATGCAGAAACCCATGCATTGCCCAAACCTGCTGGTCGTAGTATTTCTGCTGCTGCTGCTGTTTCGCCGCCGCCCGTCGCCGCGACGTCTTCCGCCGGTGCGTCACCCCCTTCGTATCAGGCGCGCGTTTCGCAGGGCGATGACGACGACGCGCCGAAGAAGAAGGCTCGCGTGGGCAGCGCCGGCAAGTTGACGGGTCTTCCTCGGGGTACACCTTTACCTAAGGGCACGATCGTTCACCCTCCTGGGGTGCCTCCTATGATGCTGCCACCAGAGCGCATGGCGTCTGTCCTCGCGCCGATGCAGCCGAATG